ATCAATAAAAGAATTATATATTGAATTGCAAGGAATTCAAATAGCAGTATAGATAGTAGCTTTTTTTTCAAATGTAAGCGATTAAACTCATTTTTATGTTTCATTACTGTTTTATTTAAACTTCAATTTATATAAAACAAAAAGCCCTAAATTAAAAACTCTATAAAGTTATATTTAAATTAAAAAAATTTGCAATCCAATGTTCTATTCTATTTTATTTTTAGTATTATTAATTTTTCTTTCGCATTTTTTATAAGCTTTCTTCTTATTACTTTAAGAAAACGAAAAAAAAAATGTTAAATATTAAACTTTGCTAAATTAGCATTTACCTACTTTGCGACAAAATTAAAAATTCCTTTTGAAAACTTAAAAATATGTAGAGTTTTTTATATATGTAAGTAATAAAAATGATTAAAAATCTACGAAAATGACAATTTAAAATGCAATTCAAGCAATTTTCAACAACAAAATTCAAATTGAAGCAAATAAAAAGCAAACAAGTGAAGAATATTTGCGATAAATTAAACGAAATTGAGTGCAAATTTGAAATTTAAAGCGAAAAAAAATTAAAGTCAGGCAGGAAAGACAACGAAACCATATGGGAAAAAATTCGTATGTGACAAGAATTCGCAAATGTTTGGAATTTCCAAATAAATTTTTAACTTTTTGTTTTTTGAACAAAAAAATTTAGACCACAATATGTACGAGATACAAAATCAAATGTTTAAAGGGCGTATAAAATGACAATTTATGTGAAAGTATCTGCGAAACAAACAATTTTTTTTCAACTGGAAATGACAAAAAGTAGTTCAAATCCGCACACATTTTTGCAAAATGATTTCAATCAATCGAACAAAAAGTAAAATATAAAAAATAAAGAAAAACAAATAAAAGTAAAAATAAAAAAATAAAAATAAAAAAATAAAAAAAAAAAATCAAACAGAAAAAACAATAGAAATAAAATTGAAGTTTAATTATATACATATAATGTTTTAAATATAATAATTACTTTTTATATAATTAAATTAAAACTCTTGAAATTACTGTAATTAATTACAAAATAAAATAGAAAAAATAGAAATTAGTTTCTTTAATTTTTGAAATAATTTCATTTTCTATTATTTACTAAAATATTAATTTTTTAAATCAAAATACAATATTAAAAATTATTGCAATTAATATATATTTATAATTTATTGAATAAAAATAAATTAATGAAAAATATAGTTAAAAAGCATAATAGTTTCTTTAAGCTATCCAAAATCATAAAAATAAAATCTTGTCATAATATTATGACAAATTAATATTATATTTTTTATATGTATTTCATTATATATTATAACAAATTGAAGCTTAAGGAACATACAATTTACAAAGTTGATTTATATAGCTGTGGTTTATGCGTCCGTTGATTTGTTCATGAATAAACAATAGAAATGACCAAAACTCCAAATTTGGGAAAACATATTAAGTGTACGGTGGTTACGTGTTTAAATGCTGGGTCTACGGTTGGATCCTATCCAGTTCAAACAGTAAATGATGCGAATCAAATTTCTGCCTTATAATATATTATTGGACTTTTAACCATTTGAAAGAATTAATTCGTCGGATAAGTCAAGCCCATCAAGTATAAAAAAGTAAATGTCATATTAAAATAATTTAAGAACCAATACACATTTCATACAATAAGACTTATATTCGCATATTGCATAGAAGTACATGAGAATTAAAACCACGTTATATATTCATTAAATTTTTTTTTGGTGGAAATTATAATTCTTATTTTCGGGAATAATTTTCAATACATTCATAATTCTCACACATTGGAATTTTTTTATATATTTTTAAATCAAATATAAAAAAATAAAATATTTTATTACATTAATAGATTGGAAACAATTCTATTTTAATAATCAATGGAATGGAATGGAATGTGATGTCAAATTACAAATTAAGGAAACGTTATATTAAAGTAATTTTAAAGTCAATGCAGTATTAATGTATTGGGACTTATACTCATAAAGTTAAAAGAAGTGCATGAGAATTAAAATAGCTGTGTATATTCCTTAAATTTTTTTGTATTTTGAGAATTATTTCATTTTATTTATATTGTTTTAATGATGTAAAGTAAAAACAGGAATACGATAACAAATATAAATACATAATATAAATATAAATAAAATATAAAATTGAAATAATATCTTCAATAATCAATATAATACTTTGTTACAAACATATTTATTGACATGATTTCAATTGATTTTTTTATTTTAAAAATCAATTATATCTTTTTAAAAAACTATTCTACAATAATTACATAGCAACTCGCTCATAATTAGTATTACACCGTAACTATAATCAACATTAATTTATTTAATGTATAGTCTGTGAAATAATTTATTGTAATGTTAAAAGTTATAAGAATATATATAAATATTCTTACTGAAAAATAAATCAGTGATAAAATCTGTGTGTAATCTGTATTAAAACTAAATTCATTACTTGTTTTTTTTTATGAAGAACTTATTGTTCTGGATTTAGTACTGTTACTTTTATAATTACTTCTACTAATTATCATATGTAACTAACTCGTCAAACCCATTTGTTGGAATAGGTAGTATTTCAACTCCCAGGATTCTGTCAATAAGAATTTGAATATCTTTTTCTATCTTTGATTTTTGATATTTACAGAGAATTTCTTCGAACATTTTAACAACTGTTGGGATCCTGTGACATATTGATATCGGAGTGTCATATCTTATTGAAATGTTTCCTCAATCCACCATGATCTCATCTATCCTCTGTCTATTTGAGACTGACTGATTTTATAGCGTGAAAAATTTGTCTTTGCACTTTGGCATTTAAAATAAGCGACAGATATTCTTCTCTGATAGATAAATTTCATTTAGATGGTACTGCAAAACATAGTGTTCGCAATGTCCACTCTGCTTTATAAAAATATATTTGAGACTGGTTGAATTATTGAACATTTTAGACCATCACTGAATTTTGGTATTCACAAAATATGTGTACAAATATTTTAACAACTATGTATATTGATATTGATTGTGGAGGTTAATTTTGTATAGGTGACACCCTAAGCTATTATGTACACCCCTGTTCTCTGTCTCTTTGAGACTGCCTTGGTTGATAAATATTTTTACCTGACTTTGAACTTTGGTACTTAAAGAAGCGACAGATATTGATCCCTAAAAAGTAAATTTTGCTGATATGATACTTTTATTATTATTGTTAGGGGATACGGCACTGCGTTCGTCGGGTCTATTGTGCCCCACCGATATAATACTTTAATGTACAATCTTCTCGCTGCTCAGTTCAAAAAATAAGTAAGACAGCATGAAGTAATGTCTGTGAGTTTGTAATGGTTCGTCTTTCATCTCATAACTTTTTTATATTATAATTAAACTATTTATAAAACTTTTTACTTAATTATAACAAAATTATTTTTATTATATGATAATAATCGTAATTAAAAGTGTCTTCGTAGTTCCCTACTCCCTTGTTTTATTTAGTTCTTCTACTTAATCACTATTTTCGTAGTTCCATATTTATTAAAGGATGGACAACATTATTAACCTAAAAAAATCTACTTTACAGACTTAAGAAATATGTCGGTTTTTACAGAAAACAATGAAACATGCATGAATACCCACTCGCATGTTTAGTCCACAGCAAATAATATGCAAACATGGTGTGTTGCTTGGCAAATAACAACTGCTAACAAAATTCCCGGCATTTTGCTACTACACAATAATACGCACAACACCATCAAAAACTAAAACAACACAGCATAAATAGCAACAAAAACAATTATATCTTGTACTATAACAACAACAACACTATTTTAACAATGTGCTAATAGTGAAAATAAGTTGGTATGCGCATGCTTTTGTTTTGTTTTTGATTTTGTTTTTGCAAATAAGAAATGCAATGCAATTCGCAATGCTTAAGTGTGGCCATAAAAGACAATACCAACTTGCCAACGGACAATAATATGTATTAACAAGATTGAATGGGGGTAAGTGGGGGGCGAAAGAAAAGAAAAGAAAAGGTAACATTAAGAAGAAGAAAAGCATTGATAAACGAATTGTTAAAGCAGATACGTTTACTTCTCGTTTCATTGTTACAATTTCTGCTGCTGTCTGCTGACTTATTTCTTGGCTATGTCAGTGAACGAACGCTGTTGTTGTTGTTGGACTTCGGTTTTATTGTAGTATAAATGTTGTTGTTGTTGTCATTTTGTGTTTTGTTTTTGTTTTTGTCTTAAGCAACAAAGCCAAAGAGCTTCTCTTGGTAGTCTGAGAAAAAAGAAGTATTTTTTCTGAATGAATTTTAAGTTGCCTGAACTTTATTTGTTGCTTACCTTTTCGTACTTGGCTGAGTTTGTGCATTACACTTTTTTTATTTTTATAGTCGAACTGCTAAGACATTCTTCGCATTCCTATTTATTCAGTCATCGCCATCATCAGTTTAAAGTGTTATCTTTAGGTCATAAATCGCTTTAAATTCTATATATTTTCTCTGCTCTTGCATACGAGTTCACATTTCATATCTTACACTTTAAATCATACAAAAATTGACATTTCGCTTGATTAATCTGTTAACCGCCTTTCAAATTATTTTTGCTTCCACATAACCTCCTGCTTCGATAGTTCAAATAAACTTATTTTGCCAGAAATGAAGTCAGCTTATGATTTTAAGGAAAATGGTAGAGACATGTCTCACAAAATTATACAACTTTGATATTAATTTACAAAGATTTATTAAAATTTATATATACTAATAATAATTATGTACTTAGAAAAGACTTTAAATAGTAGTGAATTACAACAACATTTTCTTTTTTAATAAAAAAAAAATTTATTTTTTTGGTTGGTCACACTGCTATTTCGATTAACGCCAAATACTCAACATCAGTGATCTGTACTCGTATATGGTTTTTAACTCTGTATATGTTGCTATTAGACTACAAGTGTCAAGCTTAGAACATATTAGAAGTAGTGATTTCAAGTTTTGTAACTAAACGAGCCAGAGCTGCACGAAATTTTTGTTATTCAAATTTCCAGGTGACAACCTTTTTTCAAATTTCAGTTTTTTCTCTTTCTGATTTTTCAGAAGATAACAATCAAAGTACTTGTGTAAGCGTTACACTTGTAGTTCAACAATTATAATTGGACTTATAAAATTAACAAATATTTTTAAAATACCACTAATGACGAGTATGTGAGTAAAATTAAAATTTTGTTGTTATAATTCATTACTATTAAAAAACCCCTTCTAATACTAATGGTTAGCTCTTTCCAGCCACTCATTAATTTTAAGCTGAAAAGGTGACCCAATATAAACGGGCGGCGTCATATTATATTGGTCAAAACCATTCTGTGGTCCATCATGGAGCTCTTTCAACTTAAAATTAATGAGTGTCTGAAAAGAGCAGCACAGACTGGTTGGGATAATACAATTACCTGCAAACAAACTAAAGAATTCATCCGTATCAAAAGCCAGAACTAGGGAGCTGCTTATGCTAAACAGAAATGGCATTCAACTTGTCACACAGTTTCTCACTGGGTATCGCGAAGTTAAAAGGCATCTATCGAACCTAGGTATTACTAGAGACGATAGCTGCAGACTTTGTTGCGAAGTAGAGGAAACAGCAGAACACGTTTTGCGTTACTCTGATAGTCTCGCCAGACTTAGACTTCGGTACTTATCCACTGCCTATCCACTTATAAGGAAATTCGGCAACATCTCTCCAATGGACATAATGGCCTTTGCTATTCGTCTATGAAACTAAAGTGGTTATGTCACAATAATCCTCAAAGGATGCAGTGTCGTGGTGACAAGTTCCCAACCCGTTTGAAAATTTTATCTAATCTAATATATGTATTTTTTCGCAAATTGACTTTAAAAATTATTTTGGTAGTTAAATTATTTAAATATTATTATATACTGAAATAGTTTGAACGAACTAATAATTCTCTTCAAAGTACAGAGCCAGCATACAATATACTTTCGAATCTATTTTTAAAAATATTTATTTTAGTAATTAAATTATTTAAATAATATTTGATTCTGAAGGAGTTTCAAGAACAAATCATATAAACTTGCAGTACTACTAATATATTTAAAATTTATTCATAAAGTAATTTACTTATATGCCATAAATGCAATCTTTAGACTATTGTATTTAACTCCTCAATTATGTAGCAGTTATTTTTGATAAAAATCTATACAAAATTCATACAAAAAAATGGCTATCTCTCCTTTATGATATATTAAAGCATCGTTACTACTTACATTGCCTTGAAAATATCAAATTTCAAATACCATTTGGCTCTTAAAGGTTAACCTAAATTATATCCCTTGTATGCTGTATGCTGTTATTATTTTATGGGTTAAAAATTATTTTATGTAAATATTTAAACAAATTGCTCTATTTTATACTGATTCGAACCATATTACACATACTGTCCCAATAAACGCCTTCCCAATGCTGTTAGTTCCCACAAAATTAAACTTACATACGTCCATGTATACCTTGACCTCAAAAGCTCTTAAAATTATTGCACATTAAAAAAATACTGGTGGACTTCCACTTCAGGTAGTCGTCATCGTTAAAATTGGCACATAAAAGTTTTGCATGAAAGTCTATAAAATGCGTATTAAATACGTGCTATGGTTACTTAACCACAAAAATACACTACCTCCGAGTGAGTGCAATAAAATTTTAGTCTAAAGTAACCGGTTTAAGTAGAAAATTGTAAGTAAACATTACATTTATGAGTCACTAATAATAATGTACAACACATAGTAATAATGTTTTCTTTTAATATTTATTATAATCGCTTATATAATATGTTGTAAAGTTATAGTTTAATGTGAGAAAAATTTAAGAATTTTTATTAAAATTTTTTTATTCATGTTTATTTAAAACATTAAAAATTATATCA